ATCACAGAGACACACACAGACACACAGACACACAGACCCACAGACACACAGACACACAGACACACAGACACACAGACACAGACACACAGACACACAGACACAGACACACACACACACACACACACACACACACACACACACACACACACACACACACACACACACACACACTTTTTGCGTCGGCGGCTGGGCAGAGGGTGACTGCCCCGACGATCGGGCATCAGGGGGCGCACGGGATGCAAATTCAAGCCGGAGCGCGCGAGGGGAGAGGAGGAGGCCCCGGCGCGACGGGAAGAGGGGAAGCGGGGCTGGCTCAGGCAAGACACTGGCTGCGGCAGGGGGGAGCGCCGCGGGGGGGCGAACCAGCGGCGGCGCCGGGCAGCAGCTGGGGGGCGGCTGGGCAGAGCCAGATGGGGGAGCAGCACACGCGAAGCGGAGACCACCACATCCATGGGGGGGCGGGCAGCGCAGGCGGCCCCAGGGATGAGCCAAAGCGCCGTGACCAAGGGGCCTACGAGGCGCGGCGGCAGGCGCAAAGGGCGGAGCGCAGGCTCCCGCGAGAGCGCCGCACTAGCGCGGCAACCGCAGGCCTGCGCGAAGGCGAAAGATGAAGGAAGAAGAGGCGGAGCCACGCCATCAGGAGGAGCAGCGCGGAGCTGGGAGCGCCAACAGGTGGGCGGGCGAGCGGGCCCAGGGATGGGCCGGAGCGCCGAGACCTGGACGCCCACGAGGCGCGGCGGGAGGCGAAAGGGCATAGCGCCGGCAGGCCAAGTGCGCCGCAGTGGGCGCGGCAAGCGCTGGCCGGCGTGTAGGCGGCAAACGAAGGCGAAGAGCAAGAGCCACGCCACAAGGGAGCGGCGCGGGGTTAGGGAGCGCAAGCTGGGAGTTGGCGGGCGCCGAGACTGGAGAGCGCAGGAAGCGCGGGGGCAAGAGAGCAGCGCAAGTCGCAACGGAAGAGCGGCAGCGACCCACTCACCAGTAGCCGGTGCATGGTCAAGAAGCCGGCCTGCAAACCAGGCTGGCAGAGTGGGGGCCCTGGCCATGGGCAGCCAGGGTCGCCCGGCCGGCACAAGGCACGGCAAAGCAGCGGAGGTTGCCACAGGCAGGGCCTGGACAAAACCTGCAAAAAGGCCGGCGAACCCCCAGCCAGAGCGGGGGGTTGCAGCGGCAGAGCAGGACACCGTCAGGACGGGAAGGCGGGGAGGGCCAGGGGCCAAAGGCGGGCGGCAAGTCCAGCCCACCGAGGCGCACGCAGCAGCCACCCCCGGGAAGGACGGCGGCCCTTGGCGGCGACACGGAAGTCGCAGAGACACCCCAAGCGACAGCGAGCCCTCGTGGAGACGGACTGAGAAGGAGCGGCAAAAAGGCGCAGCGCGACGGGGAGCACCGCGGAGGCGGCAGCCGCGGGGCCAGGCACGCCAGGCGGCAGGCAGAAGCAGGCCCCGAGCGGAAGCTGGAGGCCTGCAGGGGGGGGGCACCGAAGAGGTGAAGCGTAGCGATAGAGGCGCCGCGAGGGGGCAGGGCGAAAGGAGGACACAGTAGGCCAAGGAGGCCACTACCAAAACCCAGGCACACTGGGCTTAGGACAGGTCGCAGCAGAATACCGGCCATGGGGGAGCTACCAACGGCGGCTGCTCGAGGCCGACCAGCGCTGGCAAGTTGGATCGTTGCTGGGCCAGAACGTGTCGGCAGGACGCTTGCCTTTCCCCTTCGGCGGGGGCCCTTCCCTGTGCCTTGGACACGCTCGGCACTTTGCCTCCTCTTGTCCACTTCCCGATGCCACTCAGTGTCCCCAGTCGATTCGGCTGCCCTTGCACCTGCTCAGAGCGCGGACGTCGTAGTTGTCCTGGCTGAGGTCGTGCACAAAGCTCTGACAAAATTCGGTATGGTGCCGCTCGGAGCCCTGTGCGGCTCCCCCTCGTGGTCGCCGACGGCGTCCCAGCCGACCGCCAGCATGGGGCCACATTCCTTCTTGAGGCGACTGACCCCCTCATGCCAGTCCCTCCCTTGCCTTGGCATTGTAATTCCCGGCGGGGTGCCACACCACCCTACGCCGCGGCATGCAATAGAGCCGACCCGTGTCATCGCATCCGGCAGGTGGCCTCGGGGCGGGAAGCGGTTGGCGAGGAGTTGGCTCCTGCCGCCAGGGCAGAGTTCGCTCCGCAACGCCCCATGCGCGCCTCCGTCGGGATGCGCCCGGGCTGCGTTGCTCATCGGTCCAGGGGGTCTTACGCACCGGCTGTGCCCCGGCGGTTCGCAGAGCGCCGCCGCTGGACTGTTCCGCCTGCAGCGCCTGAGTGCGGTCAGGGCTGGGAGAGTGGCGCACACGAGCAGACGGCTGAAAGGAGCTCCTTGAGCTACGGCGCCTCTCGCCTTGGCTGGCCGCCGGGCTGCCAGGGGGAGGTCGCTCCTTTGAGCTCCAGTCGCAGGCCAATGCATGCGTTGAAGCGTCCGCGCAAGGCCAGTGGGGAGGCTGGCGCTGCTATCGTCATGGTCGCGTCCCACCTCTGGGGTGGTCCTTCAGCGGTCCAGCCAGACACGCTTTTTGCGTCGGCGGCTGGACAGAGGGCGTCTGCTCTGGCGCATTGGCTGCAAGAAGGGGTCTGCATGCACTTTGATGCCGCAGTGCACGAGGGAGGAGGAGGAGGAGGAGGAGGAGGAGGAGGAGGAGGAGGAGGAGGAGGAGGAGGAGGAGGAGGAGGGGCAGGAGCAGGAAGAGGAAGAAGAAAAGGAAGAGGAGGAGGAGGAGGAGGAGGAGGAGGAGGAGGAGGAGGAGGAGGCCCCGGAGCGACGAGGACAGAGGAAGCCAGGCCTGCTCAGGCAAGTCACCAGCTGCGGCGAGGGGGAGCGCCGTGGGGGGGACCAGCGGCAGCGCTGAGCAGCAGCTGGGGGGAACGGCGGCCCAGCAGACCAGGCGGCCAGAGGGGCGGAGCAACACACGCGAAGCAGAAACCACACCACTGAAGACGGGTATGGCAGACGGTCCCAGAGAGGAGTCAAGGCACCGAGACCAGAGGGCCTACGAGGCGCGGCGGGAGGCGGAAGCAGGACGCAGGCGGCCACGAAAGCGCCGCGAATGGTGAAACCGTAGCACAGCGCGAGGGCGGTGGATGCGAACCAAAAGGCGGAGCTGGGGAGCGGCGTAGAGCAGGGCGTCAGCAGGTAGCGAGCACGCGGACCCACGGACGGGCAGGAGCGCCGAGAACAGGGGGGCCTGCGAGGCGCAGCGGGAGGCGAGAGAGCGAAGCAGCGGAGGTCACAGCGGTGCGCGATAGAGAGTTACGCGCTGGCCAGGGGGCGGGAAGCGGAAAGAAAGGACCACGCCAATAGGGGGAGCGGCGGGGGCCAGAGAGGCCAGCGGGGCGGGGCGGGCGCCGAGACCTGAGGGCCTGCGATGCGCAAAACGCGATGGCGGGGCAAGGCGCCGCAGGAGACCGGCAGCGTCCAGCACACCAGTAACCGGTGCATGGATGTGAGGCCTGGAAACCAGGCACAGGGCGAGGACCCTGGCAGGGTCACCCAGGTCGACCGGCTGGCACGGGGCCCGGCAAAGAGGTGGAGGGTGCCACAGGCGGGGCCAGGAAAAGACCTGCAGAAGGCCGGCTAACCCCAAGCCAGACACACACACACACACACACACACACACACACACACACATTCACACACACACACACACACACACACAAACACACAGACACACAGACACACACACACACACACACACATACGGGCCGTCAAACGTCCGCGCTGGTAGTATGTTTCTTCGTCTTGCAATGCGTAGTATCAGTCGCCTTCTAATGATTACTAGTAAAATTCCGAGTGCCAGCATTGCAATTATTACTGTCACGAGTACCATTATTGATATTATCATTATTATTGTTACTGTTGTTGCTCAACTTCGTCTACGTCGTTGTCTTTATGCTCCTCAGCCTCCTCATCCTCATCCTTCTCCTCCTCCTCCTCCTCCTGCTCCTCCTCCTCCTCCTCCTCCTCCTCCTCCTCCGCCTCCTCCTCCTCATTCTCCTCCTCCTCTTCCTCTTACTCCTCCTCCTCCTCCTCCTCCTCCTCCTCCTCCTCCTCCTCCTCCTCCTCTCCTCCTCCTCCTCCTCCTCCTCTCCTCCTCCTCCTCCTCCTCCTCCTCCTCTTCTTTTTCCTCTTCCTCCTCCTCCTCCTCGTACTCATCCTCCGCCTCTGCCTCCGCGGTCCAATCATCACCATCAGCATCAGCATCACGTTTCACCAACTCGGATAAACGATTATGTGAGATTATGGACTACGTGATTATGGCGACCTGCCCTGTCCATCAAGAGATCGACTGCGTTTGACGGCTGCTTTTCGCTACCGTTTTCCCTGCTGCAGCGATCGCCCTCGGGCGGCCTAGTCGAAGGTTTGTTCTTTTTGCAGCGGCGCCTCATTTTTGGGTAGTCAGTGGCTGCAGCGCCTCCGGATTGGCGGCCACCATTTGTAGGAATCTCTGTGGGACCTCTACAGGCGGGCATGGCGGCTGGGCATCGACACCGCGTTCGTCCCGGCGGTCCGTCGGGCGGGATGCCTGCACAGACGAAGCGCCACCGCAGCGTGCGCCACCGAGCAGGCAACTACAGGCAAGCAGACGCTCTGTTCGAGCGGCCGCCCCAGAAACTTGAAGCCAGGGCACCGCGGCCTTCTGGGCGAGCGGATATCGGCTAAGGGCAGCCGAACTCAGTGTTGCCAGCCGCCGAACACGCGACGGCCACGGTAGCCGGCCACGGGCCATGGAACCCAGACGCCACCCCGTGGACCCTCCAGCGCCACAAACAATCTCCACATCGTACGGCGCTTGCCGCTTTTGCGGAAACAGTTCTGAAACGCGAGGGCGACGCGAACAAAACGGCACAGCCGAACGAGTCAAATGAAAATGGTCAAGAAAGGAGCACGAATAAGAATCATGGTATGCGCGCTTGTCTGTGCTCACCTTTTGCAAAACTCCGCGATGCAAGCAAGTGCAATCATGGCGCCAC